TCTCTTCTTTTTTTTTTCTTCAACTTTCTTTTTTGGACTCAAATTTTCTTTCTTTTTGTCCTTTCCTACAACTTTTCTTTCAGCCTCAACAACATCTTTCTTTTTTACTTCTCTCTTCTTTTCTTCATTTTTCTTTTCTACTTTCTCACCTTTATTTTTAGAAACAACAGACTTTGTTTCCTTACTTTTCTGCTTCTTGGTATCAACTGTATCACCAATTTTAGATACAGGATACGTATCTTCATCTAACATACCATGACCATACTTCCCACTTTCATTGCCCAACCTTTCTCTAAAATTTTCTTCAGTCCAATGCTTAATTAAAGGCAATGAACTATCAACTGTACTTCCTTCCACCTTAATTCTATGAAAATAAACTATCTGCAGCAATAAAAGACAACCAGGCAAATACTTCTGTGTAAGAGAACAACTTGACAATTTCTCACATAAGTCATCTAATACATACTGACACCAGTTGTATGTATTGATTTTGTTAACACCCTCTAAAGCTAAAACTAGCTTAAAGTCAGCAGATCGATTTGATGTAGGAGCAAGCAGAGTAACCATAGTATACATGACAAAGCATCTTTTAAAATCATCATGTCCTTTTTTCATCACATCATCACTTATCATTTTATTCCACAAAAGGGGGACTGAAATATCAAGGTTTTTACTCCCATACAAGTTCCTCCAACCAGTCTTCAAATCAGAATTCTGCTTTTTAAGAGAAATAGGAACAGGTGTTGTTCCCATTGGAATCATAAAGACGTCATAAACATCAGCTGCTGTAAGCTGAAAGTTTCTTCCAGAAGGTAAATTAAAGATACAGGTTGCAGGATCAAAACAGCTACAAAGCCAACGAATCATTTCTATTGGAAAGGTACTTAACTTGATCAACGATATATTCCCAAACCCAATAGATTCAACTGCTTGCTTTTGATCTTCAAATAACTTCTTATATAAGTCTAAAACACCAGACGGTCTACATCTCAAAACAATTACATCCTCCCTAAAACAAAACAAAATAAAAAATCAATTTCAAATTGTAGTTATACACTACAAATAACCAGTAACTCTATTTCACTTCAACTCATAATTATTAAAAATCTTACAAACAATACATATAAAAAATAAAACTCTTACAAGTAGCTCATAATATATAAACCTGTTACAAGTAACTCAAAATCAACAAATAAGTAACTAAAAATAAATAATATTCTATAGAAATCTTTTAAAAATAACTCAAAATAACTAAACAAGTAACCTCCTAACAAGTAACACTCACATAAAAATTGATGCGGTTCCAAGGCATCAATATTGTTATTATAATTATTTTTATTGTTATTTTTAGTTTATTATTAGGTGACCGAATTGATTAGGATATTTTTGTTAGTTTAATTCGGTTAGTATAAGATAAGCTTAACTTTAAAGATCATATTTGCAAAATATTATCTTTACAAGTTAGAGTTAGTTTCCTAGTTAGATTAGAATTTGTTTTACCGATTTTAGGCTAATTATTTAGCTTATAAATACGTGATGGTGTTTAACGAAAAGTATGATTGATTGATTTGAAATTTATAAAGTTTTACGTAAGCTTGTGCTTGTGTATTCTTGACCTAGTTTAGGTTTTAAGCTCGTGTTGCTTAGCGTTTCTTGACCGAGACTCAAGATTCCAAACCTTTCAACTGCGATTGAAGGTTATATCCATCAAAATTCATATCAAAAATAATCTTAATAAGTAAACCATAATCATAAAACAAGTAACCCAACATCATCAAACAAGTAACCTATAAACATAAAAATAAAAAAATAAAAAAATTTATCCTATAATCATAAAAAAAAATAAAAAAAAATAAAAAAATAACACCAAACAAGTAACACTCATATTAAAATATCCTAAAATTAAACTATAATCAACAAACAAGTAACCAATAATCAATAAACAAGTAACCCATAATAATAAAACAAGTAACCACAACTAAACCATATTACAGAAACAACATATAAAAGCTATAAAACAGAATAAATGTATTAATCAGGATAATGTTTCATACCCCTCTTCAAGTTTTACAACTTCGACCACTTGACTACCTTGAGTAGCAGTTGCAGCAGCTCTTCGACCTTTGCGTCCTCTTTTAGCAATGACAAGTTTAAGATCAGGTTTAACATCCTCTACTGGAGTATTATCAACTTCATCAGCTTTCATATCCTCTGCAATCACTTTATCAGATTTCAGACCCTCTGCATTTACATCATCCTCAACATTCACACTATGCTCTGCATTCACACCAGCATTTGCATTATCTTTTTCTAAGTTAACATCCTCAACATTTAAATTGTCAGAATCGGCATTAACATCCTCAGCATTCAATTCCTTCTCTTGTTCAATATCACCTATAGCATTATGTTTTTCTGTTCAATAAACAAATTCAAAATAAATTAGAATACTTGTTTGAGTTAATGATACACACTATAATAACTCAAACTAAGACATTATATATTAATTACAAGTACACTCAATACAAGTAACTCTATGTATAACAAATACAAGTAACCATTAATAATACAAGTAACAATAGATTACAACAAATACAAGTAACCATAGTTTTAAAATAAATACAAGTAACCCAATACAAGTAATTCAAAACGAGTAACTCAATACAAATAACTAAATACAAGTAACTCAATACAAGTAATCAAGTAAGAGTATAATACTCAGTGTAAAATTCATCAAAACAAGTAACTCAATACAAATAACTAAATACAAGTAACTCAATAGAAGTAACCATAACATGTACATCCTTCAATAAGGAATTACTAATACAAGTAACACTAGTTTACAAAAAATACAACTAATCCTATACAACTAACCAAATACAAAACACAAAATTTAAATACAAAAAAGCAATAAAAGTAACACAATATAAGATGGCATTACTAATAAAACAATATAAGGACAAATACAAGTAACCATAGAAATAATGACTAATAAAAATAACAGTAACCCTAAAAAAAATTAAAAAAGCTCAACAAAATTAAGCATATCCTACAACTAAAAAATCAAGATATAATACAATTCAAGAAATACAAATTAAGCATTTAAAACAATAAAACAGATTGAAAACAGAATAATCGCAAAATTAAAAGTAAAAAACCTAACATCAAACACGTAACCCTAACATCAAACACGTAACCCTAACAAAAAAACACACAAAAATTTAAAAACAAAAACAAAATTAAATGAAATAAACAACAAAATATAGGTAAAATACTTTAAATCTAAGTCGAATAACAATAAAAAACAACAATAACACAAAATCAAAACGAAATACAAATAATCTTTGATCAAAACACTCGAAAAACAACAACAATGTGCAAAATTATCAAAGAAATACAAATTAAAATTTTAAAAATACCTGTTTCAACAACATTTGTACAAGAAGGCGATCCTTTCTTTCCTTTGCGATTGATAATCTTCAATTTAACCATTTTGAATCAGAAAATTAAACTTAGATGACACAAAAAACACAGAAAATAACAAGTTAAACTCAGAACGAAGGCAAAGCAATAAAGAGAGTAAATAATTTAGAGAGAGAAAATTGCAAGATGAGAGAGAAAATAGAAAGAAAAAAACTGTGATAATGGCGGTTGAATGAAGAGACAACTCTATAATAATGGCGGTTTTGGGAAAAGAGATACAAAAACACAATTTCAAATAAAACGGTTTTTAAAAAAAAATAACGGGGTACCAAATGGGTCCGTTATTTTTTACATAAAAGTCCGTTATATTTTGGGCTTCGAAACTTTGGGCCCGTTATGTATGCTGGCCACACCATGTGGCCAGCCACATACAAAAATTTGTGATCTTCAGTGGCATAATCCAATTGTAGCGTTTTAAAAATATTAATCCTGTGTGGCGTTCTAATAATTTTTTAAAAATAAAAATCCTACGTGGCGCTCTAAAATCTCGGGAAAAAACTCCCCTTTATATATATATACTAGTTTTGTGCCCGTGCGATGCCCGGGTTGTTTCTTGAATTTTAAGATAAATTTCTAATCTATATGTCAAATTTTAAAACATATCATTGATACAAAATTAGTTAGCAGTTAATGTGTTTTTGTGATGATTTAAACATTTCTTGACCCGTAACCTGAAATAATGACCCTGTCCGAAATGACTCGTGACCCAACCCGATTGAAAGGTCTACACACAGTAATAAAATTATATTAGATTGTAAAGTATATTGTTTAAATTGATTAGAATATATTATAAATAATGGATGTGGTGCTAATTCCTTCGCTCCAATTTTTTTTTTTTTTTTAAAAAAAAAAACCTAAAGAGAGGAGGAAAAACCTAAAAGAGAGAACAAAGAGAATCAAAATACTCTAAACTTCTCACCTCTCATCAAATACTCTAAACTTCTCCAAAGAAATCCTCTCAAAAAAAATTTATATGATAATTTATGAGTGTTATAATTTTTTTTTTAATAAAGTTATAAATTAATTTGTACATATGAAATATTGATACTTTATCGAAAATAAAACTCTAAATTAACAATTTTATCTAAAAATTCTATCCAAATTTGATTGAAAATAGAATTCTAAATTAACTTTTTTTTATCCTACAAATTAAATTCTATATAATTCTATCCTACGTGGTGCGACACTTGGCGAAAAGTTGGAACGCCAAGTGTCGATATCTCGTCGCCTGGCTAAAAGTTTAGCTTTATATATTAGTTATATGATTAGATTTAAGAAGAGGACGCTCCATTTTATCTCCTTGATAAATAAAATTCATTTATAATAAAAAATTATTGATTCATTTACAGTTTTGTTATTTGATTATCAAGGAAATTAACTTGTATATTCTAATTTAAGAATCGCGATGAGTCGTATGAGTATAACTTGATTTGGAGTGACTAAATTTATTGTATAGGATATACATGATGAAGTGTTATACGGAGTTGGTCTGTTGGTGAATATACTACTTTTAACTGCTTTTCTTCTTTGATATGACCAAGTAGGGGAGAAGTAACATGTTCAAGATTGAAACAACTAACAGTCTTACATCCCAAAAATAGAGCCACCAGGCCCAATACAACCTGAAAGGCTGAAACAGCACACCTCTCCACAGCTTTTTTTACCCAAAGTTTTTTTTTAGCATGTCTAAATTTCTTATCCCAACAAAGGCAACAATCAAACAAAAGGGATTAAGATCAATTAGTTAGCCATATCCGCTACAAAAATGTTGTATACAGCTTGAGAACCGCAAGGTATTAAAGATTAACAAGATGAATATAGGAGCAAATGATCAGAAGTTTTCTCGAAACTGAAACTGAAACAGTCTGAAGCATGAGGACCCAAGAAGCAGTAAGATACCAGATTGCCAGACCATCCAACTCTTTGAGTTTGGTGATCTGAAGCATGAGGACCCAAGAAGCAGTAAGATGCCAGACCATCCAACTCTTTTGAGTTTGGTGGTTTGTGTATCTGTGTTGCAGTTAGCCAGGTATCTCTGACATAAATTTAAGGAGCAAAGACCACCCAAGAAGTTATGCTCAATAGCATTGTTGCCTTCAAATGTGTACAAAATCAATAGTTTAATTGTAGAATGAGCATCTCCTCTTTCCATTTTATACTCACCAAGTAACCTTCTACAAAAGTGAAAATCTTCTTAATTCTCAAACCATGGCACAATAACTCCTGCAACCGTCGGCAAATTCCACATACATCACCTACTAACACACAATAAGGATCACCTGACATCAACTGCATATTTCTAAATGTGTAATAACCAGATTTTTAACCTTGGTAGATATGCAGGCCAGAAAGCCTGAAGTCCAAAGAAAGGCTGTTGGTTTATATTTGCAGAGGCACTTACACAGTCCTAAGAGGCTTAGATACCATGTACAAATTTGATCTCGATGCCCATGATACATGTTTTTGGCTCAGCTTGAAGCACTTGAGCACAGAATGTACAATACAAATAATTTTACGCCCCACAGCTTCAGCCAGGCAATAAGGATTTTGCCTCAAAAGCTCATGAAATCCTGTTAGGCTTAGATCCATTCATTGTTTTACCAGATACTAATTACATACAGCTTTTCCCCTGTTTCACAAGAATGTAGCAGAATGAAATTGCATAGTGGAATATACAGAGAATGTGAGAAAAAAGTCCATTTCAAGAATGGAGTGCTACTTTATCACTTGCATAAAGTTGTTCCAGCTTAATAGTTATGTATATAGCAGCAAAATGGGCAATGACTTTACAGTTCAATGTAATGATTTTTTTTATAACATCTTTTACAAATTTCCTAACAAATGTTGAAAGATATACTAACTTTAAAATATCAGCAGTTTGTTGTATTTATTGCAGTTAACTCGAAAAAAAATTCTTCTGAAGAGAGAATAATTATCATCACAGGTCTTCACACACATCACGAATAGAAGAAAATCTGAATTCAAGGAGTCATTGATGTTGGAGTTAGGACATTTACCATGGTAAACTCTTTTATTGGCTAGTAGTAGATGACCTTGGCAACGATACGAAGAACACATCACTTGATGAACAGGAAGATTTCCTCTGAGCAAACAGCCTTTATAAAGTATTTAAGTGGAACGGACTTGCATAAATTTGGGACAGATAAAAACCAAAGAGCGACAAAACAATTCACTCTGCAAATATCTATTGAGGTATATATGGTGATGAATGGTTTAGAATCAAGAATCATGAGCTTACTATAAGTAAACTATAAAAACCACCATCCTTTCAGACTCGTCACATGGATTCAAAGAGTAAGCTGTATTTTCAACCTCCAACATATTATACAGCACTATACCTCATATAACAACAATTGGTTCTCCAATCCCTTGTCTTCATTAATTCACAACTACGGTGCTTCAACTCTTTCATCATCCTCATATTACCTTGTCTATCTCCAGTCCTATAAATTCCAGCTATAAGATAACCCTCTGCAAAGAACCACATACAAGAATTGCATACCTATCACCAAATATCTACACTACCAATAGTCTCTACATGAGCAGACACCGTCTTTGAAATGGTGAAATCGTGTAGCATCCCTTACAATAATTTCTCTGCCCACTAGCTTTGAAATGAATTTGATAGCAGAGTGACAGTCATTGCATACACGCAAGTTTTTCATGATTCTTAAGGTGGTGTTTTCGGGAGTATTTAGAAGTCCAAATGCTATAGCAAGCTTTTCACTGTGATGCCTAAGGATATGTTCTTTCACTTCTTCATCCAGATCATGTAGCACTGAATTTGTGTCCGGAACAAAGCCCATTTTTTTAATCTCGTCCCATATTTTTGCCATCTTTGTATAGATTGCATCTCTTTGAGGGTGATGTGCATCTTCAGCTCCAAAGACATGCACTTCATTCTTGAGTTGAAGCCAGCTCAGTCCTTGGTCCTTCTTAATTCCTTTTTCCTTCATTGATTTTCTAACTTTAGCAGCCTCAGCCCACTTTCCACAGGCAGAATATAGATTAGCAAGGGATGCAAAGGCACCACTGTTCCCTGGATCAAGAAGTAGCAATCTCTCAGCTGCAACTTTTGCCAACTCTATATTTTTATGAGCATAACAAGACGCTAAAATTGAACCCCAAGCAATATTGTCAGGTTCCATAGGCATTTTCTTAATGAAATTCTGTACTTCTTGCAGCAAGCCAGCACGTCCAAGGAGATCAATCATGCAAGAATAGTGACTTGTAGTTGGTTCAATTTTGTGCACATTCTGCATCATGTTGTAATAGCTCTTTCCTTTTTCTACCAAACCAGCGTGGGTACAGGCAACAAGTACTCCCACATATGTTATATGGTCAGGCTTAATGTCCAATGACAGCATTTTCTCAAACAGTTCTATTGCTTCTTCTCCAAAACCATGCTGAGCTAAAGCTATAATCATTGAGGTCCATGTAACACTGTCTCTATAGCGGTGTAGTGTAAAGACACGTCTGGCACCAAATATGCTTCCAGCCTTGGCATACATGGTAATTAGTGCATTGGATACACTAACGGATGATACTTCTGCTGACCTTATAGCAACAGCATGAATCTGTTTGCCATGATCCAGATTTGCCAAGCTTGAAATGACACTCAGCATAGCAGCTAATGTGTAATTGTTTGGCCTCGGCTCTTCTCTAAGCATTAATCTGAATAATGACACTGCATCATCATTAAGTCCATTCTGCTCATAACCTACTATCATTGCCGTCCAAGCAACCACATCACGGTCTTTCAATGAGTCAAATATTTCTCTTGCAGGCCTAATATCTCCAAGCTTCACATAGCCATCCATTAAAGCTGTGAATGCTATCACATTGAGATTGGAAATCCCGTTTTTTTGTATGATCTTTCGAGCATTTTCTACACCTCCACACCTAGCGTACATTGTGATCAAAGAATTTTCCACTGCCCCATAAACATCAAATTTAGTCCTTACCATATATGCATGAATTTGTTTCCCGAGTTCCAAGTTCTCAAGACTTGCACAAGCTGATAAAGCACTAGCCAACGTAAATTTGTCCGGTTTCATTGAAGAATCCTTTAACATTTCCGAGAATACTTGGAGAGCTTCAATATGAAACCCCCTTTGATTGTATCCTGTAATAATAGAGTTCCATGACACAATGTCGCGGTCATTCATTTGTTCAAACTGTGCACGAGCAAGATCAACATCACCGCACATCATATGCAAGGAAATCATAGAGTTCCAGCTTGAAACATTTTTGATCCCCATCCTGTCAAAAACAATCCTTGCCCTTACATGATCACCAGTCTTTACATACATATTAAACAGTGAATTTGCTACTGAAACATAACTACCTAGTCCATGCTTAACAACAAAAGAATGAACCTTTCTACCAACATTCAAATCTCTCATATTTGCACATAATGCAAGAACACTAGTAATTGTGAACTGGGTAGGTGACACTCCATCCCTAATCATATCCAAAAACATTTTCAATGCATTTTCATAATAACCCATTTGATAGTAACCCACAATCATAGCAGTCCAAGAGACCGAGTCACGGTCCGGAATTTGTTGAAAAACAAAATTAGCCGCACCCATTTCCCCCACTTTAGCATACCCTGATACAATTGTGTTCCAAGAAAACAATTTTTTCACAGGCATTTCATCAAACAGTTGGTGGGCAACAGAGTTTAACCCACATTTAACATACAAATTAAGGAGATTATTAAAAAGATATACACTTGCAAAAAGACCTTGTTTGATAATCTGAGCATGAATTGATTTCCCAACTGATAAGTGTTTAGATTTCGAGCAAGTTTGAAGCAGAGTAGCATAGTAATCAGAAGAAGAGGTAAGAAAATGTGGAGTAGAACTCATGGTAAGAGATAATAATCTAACCTGGAAACATGGATATCAAAGAATTCTAGTTAAAAAATGGCGGTGGAATTTCAGCATTGTTTGTGACATTAACTCTGTGTGTTTTGTTGAGACTGCATCAATGGGGTTTGGTCTTTTTTGTGATCTGTTTCGAAAACAAAAGTGCGCGAAAATACCGAAAATAAGAGATAACACCACGGGATCGTAAACAAGTTCGGTTAAAACATGTTACTCGTAATCAGGTACTTTCACACTTGGTAAACATTTTTCCGTATTAGACTTGTTTCTTATAAACAACTTTATAGTACTTCGTATTGATGCAACACTTATTTTTAGTAGTCATATAAAATTTGTTCTAGCTTCAAAATACAAAAAATACAAGGCATTATATATTTTCCAGGGGAATGATTAATGGCTTAATGCATTTATTAATCAATAGATAATTTATCCATGAGACCATGACTCTATGAGTACATATAACTATATGACTATATGAGAATACAACTTTTATGATAACGAATTTCCAAATCCAAACAATTTTAAACAACCCTAATCTTTATTCCAAAAAAAAAAAAAAAAAACCTAATCTACCAAGGTAATAGTGGACAACAAAATTACCCTCCCTTTTAACATGAAATCAAGGAACGTAATCTAGCTTGGAACTTGTTGATCGGTGAGGATTCTTAATGAGCCTTAACTTTAACAAGCCTTTACATTTTTGTATAAGGGTCTGTTCACTTTAGCCTAATTTCAGTTCAGTTCAGTTTAACTCCAATCATTTCAGTTCAGTTTAGTTCAACTCTTAATTTCCTTCTCTCATAAAATATTTAGTTTAGTTCAGCTCAAATCAGTTCAATTTAGTTCAGCTCAATATAGTAAATATAAACAGACCCTAAGTCTTTTGTACGTACACTTGATTATTTGATCATACAAGTCCATTTAAGATATAAGAAGCTATGCCCAATAATCTCTTCAACATTAGGCTTCGGCCCAAATCATATAACACAAGCCATGTCCGCTAGATTGTTTTGTTCCCTTTAAAAATCAGTCCCTTATACTTGCTTCAACCTTAACACGAGCAAACTAACGTAACTAGAGTAACAAATAAGAATTGGAATTATTGCATCCCCTTAGAGTGATTGAATTATTGTGCAACTGTTGGTGCAACAACTAACAAGCAACAACCTCTACGTGCTCTTTAAATTCTATTAATACCGAAGAGTCAAGGGCGCACATTATTGCTGGCAACCAGGCACCCGAATTGGACCCAACCATTAGACATCAATTGCATGTTTGTATTGTCTCTTTGTTGCTCTAACCTCTTAAGTGGCTAGCAAGTCATTCATGTTTTTCGTTCATTCCCTTTTTTTTTTTTTTTTTTTTTTTTTTTAACTGGCTTTACGGTGTGGCCATCCAATATATGGATTATTTCGTTAGTGTAATAGGGGTTACTTGGTCAGTGTTAAAGGAGTTACTTCGTCAGTGTTATAAGAGTTACTCGGTCAATGTTACAGGGATTACTTAATCAGCGTTATAGAGGTTACCTTATTCTTTTATAAGTGGTCACACGGTGTGGCCAACCACACACTAGACGAGCTTTTTTTTAGTATAAATTATAATAATAAAATGATTATCATACATAATTTCTCACTAATTTTATTATGTTACTTTCTCTAAATTTCTCATGCTGATTTAAAATTGGAGGAGCATCTTCAAATTTGTGAAAATTAATTAAGTGATAAATTAAAGAGTTCTTATCCATCCATAACATATAATAATTATATAATATGGCCATATAAATATATTTCAATGAAACTTATGCTTAAAGAAAATACTAATATACTATTGTACAATTACTTGATATCAACTCACACGATCACACCACTAAATTCGTCACTTAATCAGTGGTTACTTTTCAGTGTCCGAGGCATATAACCTATAAGTACAATAACACTTAATACTGATAAAATATGATAAATATTTTAGATATTATTCTGTATTGAAGGAGTTGAATAAGAACGTGAAAACTTTTTTTTTTTTTTTTTTTTGGTGGAAGAACGTGAAAACTTTGATTATCCGAAAACCGAGTAAATTATTTATGATTTCCGTCTCAATAGATTACTGTACTTGTTATGTTGTAGCACTGTTGCTGTCCTGTTCTTTGCTATGATGCGTACGTTCCAAAGACAAGATATATTCCGGATGGATTGGAAAATAATTATTCGTATACACTTGTGCATATAATATCAGCATGTCACACTCCAATTTCAACGTAACCAAAATTGAGTAATGACGTGCTAGTGTCATTTCCGTAAATTAGAATTTCAGATGTGCAAATTATGGTCTTATTTGATCATTATTTCATAATATAGTCTATTTCTTTGGAAGAGTATTAAATTTATGACCCATTAATTTAAGAGAAAATCCAAGTTTATCAATATGATAAACAAAATTTGTTTATCAAATGACAAAATTGTAAATAAACCAACAACTTTTTAGTAAATTTGGGACCCACTATTGTTGATATATTTACGAAAATGCCATGATACCTGGGCATTTATGTTGTTTTATTTACCATTTTGCCATTTGATAAACAAATTTTATTTATCAAATTGATTAATTAGGGCTTCCTCTTAATTTAATTAGTAAGCTATGATATTACCCTACTTATATGTACCTTTAATTTTGGATGCAAATTAACAATGTACAGTACCAATCACAACTAATGAAAATTCTGTTCATCATTACTATATACTTGTACTATTACTAATAATAATAATAAAGTACAAGTACTAATTAAACAAAGTCATGTTATGATAGCAAAATTGCTGTTCTTGTTTTCAATAAATCCAATTACACTCATGTCAATTAAGACAATACATTAAACAAGCAATTCTAGCTCACTTCTATTCTATCAAATCATCTATCACATTGACATATATATTACAATTAAGCAACTTTTTGCCAATCAATAATATCTGTAACTTTAATTATTGTGCTCTTGGCTATCAACTTATCACCTTTTACAAGTTCTATATCTGTACGTCAATTTTTTTCTTTTTGCAAATTATAGAGTTATCATCAAGATGGTTGTAATTTTCATCATTTCTTGTAACGCTTCTTGTAAAATATTTTAGTATCGTTAGTAGTTATTACTTGCAAGACTAAGGACCAATATACAAGTACCCCGTACAAAACAACAAATAGAGAATTAGAAATGTGTACTATTTTCTTGGATAACTTCCATTGTCCATACATTATTCAATATCATACCCCAATAGAGATGCCTAAAGGAAACCGCCATGTTTCCTTTTTACTTAGCTAAGGGACATACATTCAAATATTCAATCTTGAAAGTTGGCAATGAATATCTAATACAATATCTTTTTATTGTTGAAATAATATTCTAAGAAGACAATGAAAAATATCTGAGAAATGATCCAGCTAGATATTTATAATTGGGTTAAATCAAAAACCCTACCAATTAGCACTCGTCTAATTCCACGTGGAACCCCCTGGTCGCTCTACTTGCGCTTTTTATGCACTTTTTTGCACTTTTTTTCTTAACACATCTCTTTCAAGCTAGCTTTAATGACATATATATGGAGCTTATCATAATTGATTGGCTATGTCAAACCTTATCACTATTATTAAAATGATGCTAACATTATTAGAAAGGTTTGGTTTTAGTTGTTGCTATTGCATTGATTTGTATAGGGTAACCGTGATTCGAACTCGCCCCAAGTATCTAGTGTATCACTTGTACATGATTGACGTTTTATTCGCTTTTCAAAATTTTAACTTATTTCAAGATTACTCCATTTACCAACTCTTTGATGACATATCTTTGTTATTGAGGGTTGTGAAATGAAACAACTGCACAACTAAGGGCATGTTCTCTTCGGCTTAATTTTAGTTCTATTTAGTTCAGTTCCAATCAGTTCAGTTTCTAATTTCCTTCTATCATAAACAATTCATTTCAGTTCTATTAAGTTCAGTTCAGTTCAGTAAATCAAAACAGGTTCTAACTCGGGAATATACCAATTATAAAGTATAATAACAGTACTCTGTAACAGATTCAAATCTTGATAATTAACACATACACATGTATTAACGTGCTTTTATATTAAGACTTTTCTTTTATTTGAATTACAATTTTACATAACTCAATCACTCCAATGAATTAGTTTGAGACTACTTTGCATTGATTTTAAAAGTCATGGTTTATAACTATTGGGTACCGTACCCTAATAATAAAAAGAGATTCATTAGAAATAATTCATGAAGGTAAGAGGGTCCAAGTTTTTGTGAAATGTCAATGTATGTACTTATTTTTTATGTGTATGTAGGCCTGTAGGGTATTCATGAACGTGATGAAATTTGTGAGAGTTCGATATCAAGTCATTTCTTCTTGGCTCTTGCTATTGAAACATACCTATACCGACTTGTTAGGACTATGTAATATAACAATCTAAAGAAGATAGAGACAACATTTATGAATATTTAGTACTCCTACAAAATATTACCTAAAATAAAAATACTTCGTATTATAAAAAATAAAATACTAACAAAAAAAAAAAAAAAAAAACCAATTGCTATTGTGCCCTTAATCTCACGAAAAACCAAGATTCAGTGCTAAAATGTTGCATCGGCGAGCTCATTAAACTACAAGAACCGTGCGGGGAATAGCCACAATAATTCGCAATTTACTACGGAAATTTATGCTCCTATAGTCCTATAACATTGTCTAAGTTTTGCAAGACATACTGAGCCATGTCACCAATAAACCTAACCTGGCCTTCAAACTCAAAGTAAAACTTTGGATTAAGTTGGTCATTTAACAAAGTATTAAAAGCACTAGTTTAAATAAAATCAATGTGTTTTCTGTGTAGCCGGTTGACATATATTAAAACACTAAACGGGCAACCCCTTACAGATTGAGTAACAACTGACTAAATAACCCCTAACCAAGCAACCTATGACTAATTAAACCCTGAATAAGTAGCCCTGATTATTATATTGTATGGCTAGTTACATATAAAACTTTGTGAAATAAAATTTAAATAGTATGACTAATTGACTATAATATATTATTAAAAAAAAACAAAAAAAAAAAAAAAAAAAAAAAAAAAGTGACATATGAAATTAACAATCAATGGCTATATGGCTATATGTCAATATTTGGTCATGATGACCCAAGAGTGGGGCGATGAGAAAAGTTGATCGCAAAAACTGTAGCATTATCGCGATCTCCAATTATTTGGGCAAGCACTTTTTCAACTTTTGTCGCCTTTGGTCCTAATAGAAGTACTATGCTTCCTAACTATATGGCCCTATTAGGGCAAGTATTTTTCAAACAAAACCCTCACCCTTAATCTCTCGCATTGGCCACTAGTAAGTCCGATAAAGATTTAGGTATTTCCTCTATTACTTAGATACTCTGATAAATAAATGTAATTGAAGTAATATATGGATGGTAGTAAGAATGGAGGTGGCCGGCCCAGTGAGTGGGTGTGAAATAAATTCAAATATCAAATTAAAATAAATTCAAACAATATAAGTCAAAATATATAACTATATTTTATGTGAGTTATCCGAAAAAAGTTAGAGTTTTTGCTATCTTAAATGTGTTTGAAATAATACTTATTTTGTGTTAAAAATTGCGTGAAAATTTATTTTTGTTTAAATAACATTAGTTCAGATATTAGAACATGCAAAACCTACCCTTGCCTAGCTTAGTCACTTGAATAGCTAGTTTCAATAATTAA